ATATACACAAATCATCAGATGCACGAAGAAGTGATTCTAGTTGACCGTCAGAGAGAGAGACAGAGTGAGAGTGAGTGAGAGAGGGGGTGGGGGAGCAGGGAAATTGTGTGAGATGTATTGTTGTTATAACTTTCACTATATACACAAATCATCAGATGCACGAAGAGGTGAGTCTAGTCGACCGTGTGAGATAGAGAGAGAGAGAGGGAGCAGGGAAATTGTGTGAGATGTATTGTTGTTATAACTTTCACTATATACACAAATCATAAGATGCACGAAGAGGTGAGTCTAGTCGACCGTGTGAGAGAGAGAGAGAGAGAGAGAGGGAGCAGGGAAATTGTGTGAGATGTATTGTTGTTATAACTTTCACTATATACACAAATCATCAGATGCACGAAGAGGTGAGTCTAGTTGACCGTGAGAGAGACAGAGAGAGAGGGGGTGGGGGAGCAGGGAAATTGTGTGAGATGTCTTGTTGTTATAACTTTCACTATATACACAAATCATAAGATGCACGAAGAGGTGAGTCTAGTTGACCGTGAGAGAGAGAGAGAGAGGGAGCAGGGAAATTGTGTGAGATGTATTGTTGTTATAACTTTCACTATATACACAAGTCATCAGATGCACGAAGAGGTGAGTCTAGTTGACCGTGAGAGAGAGAGACAGAGAGAGAGGGAGGGGGAGCAGGGAAATTGTGTGAGATGTATTGTTGTTATAACTTTCACTATATACACAAATCATCAGATGCACGAAGAGGTGAGTCTAGTTGACCGTGAGAGAGAGAGGGAGAGAGAGAGGGAGCAGGGAAATTGTGTGAGATGTATTGTTGTTATAACTTTCACTATATACACAAATCATCAGATGCACGAAGAGGTGAGTCTAGTTGACCGTGAGAGAGAGAGACAGAGAGAGAGGGAGGGAGCAGGGAAATTGTGTGAGATGTATTGTTGTTATAACTTTCACTATATACACAAATCATCAGATGCACGAAGAGGTGAGTCTAGTCGACCGTGAGAGAGAGAGAGGGCGGGAGCAGGGAAATTGTGTGAGATGTATTGTTGTTATAACTTTCACTATATACACAAATCATCAGATGCACGAAGAGGTGAGTCTAGTTGACCGTGTGAGATAGAGAGAGAGAGAGAGGGAGCAGGGAAATTGTGTGAGATGTATTGTTGTTATAACTTTCACTATATACACAAATCATCAGATGCACGAAGAGGTGAGTCTAGTTAACCGTGAGAGAGAGAGAGAGAGAGAGGGGGGGGGGGGGGGGGGGAGCGGGGAAATTGTGTGAGATGTATTGTTGTTATAACTTTCACTATATACACAAATCATCAGATGCACGAAGAGGTGAGTCTAGTTAACCGAGAGAGAGAGAGGGGGGGGGGAGCAGGGAAATTGTGTGAGATGTATTGTTGTTATAACTTTCATAATATACACAAATCATAAGATGCACGAAGAAGTGAGTCTAGTTGACCGTGTGAGATAGAGAGAGAGAGAGAGAGAGAGAGAGGGAGCAGGGATATTGTGTGAGATGTATTGTTGTTATAACTTTCACTATATATACAAATCATCAGATGCACGAAGAAGTGAGTCTAGTTGACCGTGAGAGAGAGAGAGAGAGAGAGAGAGAGGGAGCAGGGAAATTGTGTGAGATGTATTGTTGTTATAACTCACTATATACACAAATCATCAGATGCACGAAGAGGTGAGTCTAGTTGACCGTGAGAGAGAGAGAGACAGAGAGAGAGGGAGGGAGCAGGGAAATTGTGTGAGATGTCTTGTTGTTATAACTTTCACTATATACACAAATCATAAGATGCACGAAGAGGTGAGTCTAGTTGACCGTGAGAGAGAGAGAGAGAGAGAGAGAGAGAGAGGGAGCAGGGAAATTGTGTGAGATGTATTGTTGTTATAACTTTCACTATATACACAAATCATCAGATGCACGAAGAGGTGAGTCTAGTTGACCGTGAGAGAGAGAGACAGAGAGAGAGGGAGGGAGCAGGGAAATTGTGTGAGATGTCTTGTTGTTATAACTTTCACTACATACACAAATCATCAGATGCACGAAGAGGTGAGTCTAGTTGACCGTGAGAGAGAGAGAGGGGGGGAGCAGGGAAATTGTGTGAGATGTCTTGTTGTTATAACTTTCACTATATATACAAATCGTCAGATGCACGAAGAAGTGAGTCTAGTTGACCGTGTGAGATAGAGAGAGAGAGAGAGAGAGTAGGCGGGGGGGGAGCAGGGAAATTGTGTGAGATGTATTGTTGTTATAACTTTCATAATATACACAAATCATAAGATGCACGAAGAAGTGAGTCTAGTTGACCGTTAGATGAGAGAGAGAGAGAGAGTGAGGGAGCAGGGATATTGTGTGAGATGTATTGTTGTTATAACTTTCACTATATACACAAATCGTCAGATGCACGAAGAAGTGAGTCTAGTTGACCGTGAGAGAGAGAGAGAGAGAGAGAGAGAGAGAGAGAGAGAGAGAGGGGGGGGGGGAGCAGGGAAATTGTGTGAGATGTATTGTTGTTATAACTGTCACTATATACACAAATCATCAGATGCACGAAGAGGTGAGTCTAGTTGACCGTGAGAGAGAGAGAGAAGGGGGGGGGGGAGCAGGGGGAGCGAAGTTGTGTGAGATGTCTTGTTGTTATAACTTTCACTATATACACAAATCATCAGATGCACGAAGAGGTGAGTATAGTCGACCGTGAGAGAGAGAAAAAGAGAGAAAGAGTAGGAACAGGAACAGCGAAGTTGTGTGAGATGTCTTGTTGTTATAACTTTCACTATATACACAAATCATCATCATTATCATCATTACAGCCCTCCACAAGTCCACTGCTGGACTTAGACCTCCCCCAAGAAATGCCACAAAGCACGGTTCCAAACCACCAACATCCATCGAATTCTTACACGTCTTACCAGGTCGTCACTCCATCTAGTGGGTATCGCCCTACACTTCGCCTACCGGTACGAGGCTGCAGCTCGAGAACCTTTTTTCCCCAACGGTTGTCGGTTCTTCGAGCTATATGGCCGGCCCATTGCCACTTCAGCTTACTAATCCGTTGGGCTATATCGGTTACTCTGGTTCTACTGCGGATATCCTCATTTCTAAGTTTATTACGCAGAGAAACTCCGAGCACAGCCATCTCCATAGCTCGCTGAGCGACCTTGAGCTTCCTCATACGGCCGGCAGTGAAGGACCACATCTTAGATACATAAGTAATCACTGGAAACACGCACTGGTTGTACAGTCTCGTTTTCTGGTTTTGAGGTATACCTGACGAGAAGATGTGTTATAATTTCCCGAACGCTGCCCAGCTGAGTTGAATAAAGAAGGAGGGTTTTCAAGAGGGCATAGTTGCATTTCTTGAAGAAATAGATCACCGCACTTCTGCTCAACGCCTTCGGAGTAGTTCATCATGGAGAACGGAATTAAAGAGCTTCTGAAGGACTTCAAGTGCCAGTTTTTCACCCGATTTTAGAAGCTCCACTGTAATTCCATCCTCGCCCGGGAACTTGCCGTTTTTAAGGTCCTGGAGAGCCATTCTAATCTCGCTCAGACTGACCTCTAGAATATCATCGGAATAGTGTCGGATAAGACTTGCTCTCGGATCGTTATTCACGTGGCTCCAACGATTACGTGTACAGCTTTCCATAGAACCTCTCAATCTCACTCAAAAGCTCAGGTATCCCGGAAACGATGCTGCCACACTCGGTCTTTACTTCGTCCCCTAGTTCTTTTGGCAGACAGATCTCTGGCAACGACTTTGGAGCACTGGTTTCGCTCGATCGCTTCTTCAGTAAGAGCTCTATTGAAGTTGCGTAAGTCCCGCTGCATGCATTTGTAAATCTGTCTGTTCAGTTGCTGTATGCTGTCAAATCTGCTGAAGACTGCAGCTTCATCTCCCGTCTAATAACTATAAGATTAAGAGTGTGATCGGAGAGTTTTTGTGTTCTTCTGCGGCGGGTCTTGCAGAACTTAGCTCCGACCGCATGGACAGTTTCCACGAGCTTGTCATTAATATCGTCCACTGCATTGCAGTCTTCTGGGTACTGAAAACAGTTACGTAATCGAGCTGAAAGTTTTCGGGATTCTGGATCAGAGCACGAGGGGGACGGAGCGTTGACATCATTAGACGAGACATCTCCAACTTAACGTTTAGCTTCAGTGTGCCTCTAACCATTCGGTGATCGCTGCCAGTTTTCACCCTCGTGATTCCTTAGACATCACTGAACAGCCTTCTAGTTCTCGTAATGAAGTTAATCTCTTTTTTTGTCGAACTGTCGGGGCTGTACCAAGTCCACCTTTTGTGGGGCCGCTTCTGGAAGAAAGAGTTCATCATAAAGAGTCCTTCTTTCTCCATGAAGTCGGCTAACCCCTAACATTCGTATCTTCAGCTCGCCGTTCTTTTTTCTGCCCAGTTTTGCGTTAAAATCTCTCATTAACACCGTACAGTGGGTTTTGGAGGAATGCATGTCTTTATCCATTTCCGATATATAAAGATATCTTCATACATTTCCTCCACCTTTTCATCGGGATGTGCCGATGTCGGTGCGTAAATTTGTATGATCTGCAACGAATACCGTTTGTTGATTCTGATATAAGGTATGCAACCTTCGTCAACATACTCAGAATCTTGTTAACACGAGATATATTGTATAGTTGTCGGATTCGAGAATTATCGCGTCCTCCTCCTCTCTCCGGACCTCCCTTTTCTGAAATTAAAACGTTTAGTTTTTCTTTTAATCATTCTTTAATAATAGTATTCATCAGATAATTTTATAATATCCAAGCTCAGCTTCTCTATCTTTTCTTCTAGCTTCAGGATCTTGTGTGGGAGTGATTCATGACAGTAGTCGAATGGTGGATTCGAACCCACGACCTTTTAAATTCGCGATTCGCAACCTGCTATTAGGTTACTTTTTTTTATAGAATAGGATAACAAACGAGCACACAGTCCACCTGATGGTAAGTGGTTGCTGTGGCCCATAGACATCTATATCCATCTTCGATTACGAATCAAAATTCAGTTGTCACCCGTGAGGACTAAGATGAAATGCCTCGTTTACAGTAATAAGGGTCTCCGGTTCCCTACACTCACCATACGAAACACAGCAGCATCAAGCTACCATTTTACGCTGGTATTCTGTGAGCGTGGTCCTTCCCCGGTCGAGCCGACCCATTCGTGCTACAACTATATTACTAAAATAACTGCAGCATAGCTCTACCACGTGAAAGTGTTACTGTCGCTTTGTTATTTTTTGAATAACTTTTGTATAGTTGTGTGTGATTTGTGATATAGATAAGCAAGTATTAGGTTAGGATAGGTGTAGAGTTGCGTTCGTTAATTTAAACGTTGGCGTTGCTCCAGGCTCAGTGCCAGCTGGGCATGCTGCTGGCGGCGCAGGCGCACGCGGGGCTGGTGGCCGCGCCGCCGCGCCGCAAGCGTCGCGCGCACCACGCGCACCACAACACACCCAAGCGCACGCACAACTGACCACTACTCCACCACACACCACCACCCGGTACTCATCGTATCACACAAATGACCACGCATCAAGTTTAAAATCCCACATCAATCACTAACTGTATGGCCGTATTTTATAAATGTCGATTTAAGTATTGTAAAAAATAAAGTATTTTAACAATATATTGCATTTTATTTTAGATAGCAAAGTCTACATTTGTAAATAAACCTCTCGTGGCGTACCAATGTCACGCATTGATCAGATCTAAAAATCCACATTTAAAACGGTTGTCTGATAATACAATCGCTAATCTGCTTGCCAAAAGTGTCAATTATTACAAGTTGCGCGTGTTTCAATATCGTGCGATTGGTAGAACTATGGAGTGTAGAAGTAAGGAGTACAGACTGTGTATTAAAAAGTGTCCATAGAAAACCGTTAAATAAGGGTGGCGCCACTATAACTACGGGGTATACTTTAAAGAACGCACCGAAAAATATTAGTGGGATAGACGACTTTTTCGAGGTTACATTTACTAAATAAAATTATTTTAGATTTTAGAGCTACTGATCAGTTTAGCAGCACACTTAAACCGGCGACAACTGCTAAGTTCATTTCATCCCAGTAGCTACTCCAGCGCTGTTGTGGAGAGTTTTTGAACTGTTATTTACTGCTTACAGATGGCCACTTTTTCAACTATTCTACTATGGGAGTTGGTACTCCTTACTTCTACACTCCAGGTAGAGCGATCAATCACCCTAACTATTGTTTTATACAATATGTAACGTAATTAACGCACACCCTCAGACACCCCAATTAGTATATTATGTTATAATCATAATACATACACTGAATTTTTAGTTAAACATTTTTATGCACTGATTATTTATCAAATTAGTTGTACTAATTCCGGAAGAATGTTGTGGTCATAGTACAAACCCACGAACGCAAAGACTTTAACATGCTTGAAATAAAGTTCATTTTTCTTATTTTATTGAATAACAGAATTAGTAATAATACAAATAAAACTGCACTCTTAAAAGTCTTATTGCCTTAAGTTACGGTCCATTTCAGTTTGTTTTGACTGTACAGATTTAGTGTGACTGTAATTTACGTAGTTTTAATTATTTTTGGGATAAAAAATTACCTATATTAAAAATGATAGGAATCGATTCAGTAAACGATACTGAACAAACTACTTTCTCAAAGTGCGTTAATTATGTTACGTGTTGTATATTACAAAACTATGTGGTCGAGCCATACTGTCATATATTACGGTTGCAAAGCAAATGGGTCAGTCATTGGTCATGGTAACGAAATATTCCATCATATTCTTCAGAACTGACAACGCATCTTGATTCATAATCGTAAATGTTAATGAGCCACATCACTTACCATCAGATGGACTATATTATCGTGTCACACTTCTTATATAAAAAAAACATAGAAGGGAGGCGGACACATATTTGTCATAGTTGCCACGCTTGGCAAACGATTTGCCAGTCGCAACTTCTTTACGCACGCTTGACTTGAGGAGTTAGTTGACGAACGCGTGACGAAAGCGTTACGAAAAGTGTGATCGGGCGAGGCGAACGGGAGTTGAGTGGGGTATATAAGCAAGAGCAGTGCGCGCGCACATTTTCTTTTTCTCTTTCTCTCATAGCCAGTTACGTTCCGTATATCTAAACATTAATATCTTGTTCAATACATTAAAAATTCCACGTGAATAAAATTGTAAATTCATTTTACAGTTCATGTTTTGTGAATTTTCGGGTGAAAAATAACAAATTATGGAAGGAAGCCGACGATAAATTTAAATATTTGTACAAAATTAATATATGTATATACATGTATATATCATACATATTTTTTATAGGATAGGGTGACAAATGAGCACACAGTCTACCTGATGGTAAGTGGTTGCTGCGGCCCATAGACATTTACATCATTCACCATACGAAACACAACACATGAACATATATACATACATACAGATGGAGCTAAAGAAATTATACTTCAGTCGTGTGGTCATAAGCACACTCTTTTTTTTTCTTGTTGTTAAGAAAAATGCTGCGCCCACCTCCTACTTCAATTTCCGTCTATTGCTTCTTAAGACACCCACGGGATGATATATTAAGGTAGTGTATTCTATCACGCGGGCTCTACACAGCCATATGCGTTACAGACCGAATTTTGGTGATGGCGACCGCTTTTAATATACTAGCCATCTGCGCAGTACAGAATTACAATACACGAGTATATGCGTACGCATCTCTATTCCCTCACTCATAGCACCACGGCACGGCAAGCCAACACAACCGGAGAGAGATCAGGCGCAGGAACAACGGCTTTACGTGCTTTCCGCGCCACGGGAGTGAAACACCGAAAACTTCTTGACTTCGGGCAGCTACTGAGAATTTCTTGACAGGAAAACCCACTAACTGATTACGGCTGAGTGCGGGATTCGAACCCGAGACATTATGATTAGCAACGGTATAACCACGAGACCAATCAGTCACACGGCCATACAAGACGGGAAGTTAAATGTTAAACAAATAAATGCAATTCGTTTTGACTTTTTTATTGATGCACATCAAATACTTTGTGACTATTTTTGATACATATGGGTTTCCGCTTACATACAGGGCATACTTATATTACAATCTTTCGTATTGTAAGAAAAACAATATCAAAAGGGTCTTAAAATATCGGGCGTAAATGACTACGTTTTCCCTTTTTTACACATAACTGTTCGCGCAGTTGGGGGAAAGAGAAAGCGATAGGGACAAATTATAGGCATAGAGCTAGTAACGCAGTAAGTCACTTCTGTTTAAGCATAGTAACAACATTCCACAATATATGTTTAAAACAAATTTTGAATGTATTTACTGGAGTCTCTTGCACGGGGTCTTTTAAGGTAACATACGGAGTTAAATTTGACACTACTTACCACCAAAATCAATAAAATCGTTACTAGCTCTTACACTACTAAATACTTTGCAATAGGGTAGTTACACTCGTGTTAAAAGAAGTTAGCAGTTGATAACGTCATAGTTATTAGCTTATTAGTGTCGAATTATTTAATTTGTATATTTTCAATTAATAAAATGGAGTTTACCTAAAGTTGGAAACCGAATAAGTTTAGAGACAGCAATTTATTTAAAACCGTGCTAACTACCCAATTGTCATATAATTGTCATTTAATTATAGTTGAGCGAGTTGGTCGCCGTTAATGTCAATTTCTCGTTACATTTGTTCAAATGTTCGTCAATATTTGATCCAAACATGTTGTCGAAGTATTTTAATACTTTATAAATAGAAAATTGGTTTTTAAAAACCACTTTAGAACCTGGTTCCTGCCAGGCATCTAATTTTATCGCTCGCCGAGTAAATGGCAAACTAATTTAATTTGCCTAAGTCCTTAAGTATTTCTAAGTCACATACATTTATTTAGGTATCGGTATGTTTCCATAGCTTTTCAATTAATGACATGCATTTTATTTCTTGCTAATTTAATACTTATAAAATAATGCTGTATTGATGACAAAATGATATGTGATTACTGAAAGACATGCGTAGATTTACGTTTCCTACAATATACGGGCAAGTTTACATAATATATAAATAACTCCTTAAAATAAATTTAGAATATTGTTTTCATTTACACTTATATTATTTTCTAAATTGCACGTGCTGTTGATTACCTGTATATAAAATATATAAAAACCAAATCGAACTAATTAATTCTAGGATACGAACAAATATGGCGACGTCTTATAATATAAGCGTAGAAATAAACCAGCACAACATTCCTGTAATTTATATTACAAAACGTATTTTATATTACATTCAAACTAAATAACACCTTAAATAAAGTTGATAGAGTTCAATTTGAAAATAAGTCTCTTGATAGATTACACACCGAGCATTTTTGACAGTTTATGTAAGGTTTGTTGCCAGATCGAAAATTTTATAACGCACACTTTTGGTACAACTGCAATGTTATAGACAGTAGAAAAATATTACACCAAAAAAACTCCGAAAGAATATTTATTTTGTCCATTTATTAATTGAGATATTTATATTTGAAATAATAATATTTTCAGTTGAAAATTAAATTCACTTTATTAATAAATCGAACGAAGTAAACTGCAGTTAGCTAGAATACTATACGAACTATACAACTCAAAGTATTAGTATTTTAATGCAACGGGAATATGTTGTGTATACGTGGTAGAGCCATGCTTCAGCTATATTATAGTTGTAGCAAGAATGGGTCAGCTCGACCGGGGCAGGACCACGCTCTCACAGAATACCAACGTTAAATAGCAGCTTAATGCTGCTGTGTTTCGATAGAGTATAATGTAGAGAAACGGAGACCTTTTTACCGGAAAGGTATTCTATCTTAGTCCTGCCTTATCACACATCTGCATTTTGCTTATGGGCCACGGCATGCACTTACCACCAGGTGGACTGTGTGCTCATTTCACACCCTTATGATATAAAAAAAAAACAAACGAGTGTAAGTTGCCAGCATCTGTTTTTCCATCCGATTACAGTGTCGGTGTCTTCAAGGCAAGAGTAAATGAGTTTTTGTTGTCAGTGCGCTGCACCATCTCAGGCTACATCACCACTTACCATCAGGTGGGATTGTAGCTAAGCACTGGCTTGGAATAATAATAAAAAGGTGAACTATAGCTGGAGTTTCTGTAAAAGTAACTTGGGTAGTTCTGTTGCTACATTATTGTAACAACAGAACTAGCCAAGTTACTTTTAGTAGTTCTGAAGTTACAAAAAATTTAGCAAAAGCTGAATTTCGTGATTTGTCTAGGGAATCACGAGAAATGTCTATCACAGAGAAATATGCAACTTGCTAAAATATTTTTACCGTAATACTGAACTATTTATTACATTCACGCGTATGATACAACTAAGAAAATTGTGCGTGTAATTGCGTACGAAGTGAAACTTCTTTGTTATATATAATTCTACTTTAATTATATGTTTTACATGAGTATGTTATAAAATAGTATACTCACGCAGAACCAGCGGTGAAACGTTACAAGAAAACGTGAAGTTTTTATTATTTTAATACCGCACTAAATTTCTCCACTACGTCGATAAAGAAGTTTCACTTCAATAAATTAATTTTATGGATTGTAGCGCGGATAATTTAAGAGAACGGTTTGAGTATGTTATTTGCAATAATAATCATCATCAACATCATCATTACAGCCCTTCATAAGTGCACTGCTGAACATAGACCCCAAAGACCATTGCCACTTAATTTTACTAATCCGATGGGATATTTCGGTTACTCTGGTTCTACTGCGGATATCCTCATTCCTAAGTTTATCACGCACGCATTTGTCACGCTTATCTAGCAATTCTTTAAACGCAGTTTTTTGAATTTTCTATTTATTATTAATTGCTTTACACATACTTCCAAAAAATTTGTTAAGTTAAAGTTTTTGAAAATTAAATTCCGAATTTACATTTTTTCTAAATTCCGGTCTATAACATTACAATAGTCCAAGATCTCGAATTATCTCACGTGATCCTACACACGTTGTGCACGTACACTTCTGTGTACGCACACATCGTGCACGAACACGTGTACGCAAGTCGAAGTGCGTGTCCGTCTACTTGTTCGCTGGCCGTAACGCGTTAACGTCGAGTTGCACGCGAGGCTTGTGCCTCGGCGGTTCGAAGTAGAAGTCGAAGCGTTTGAAAGATTCAATCTCGCGCTCGGCTGCTTCGAGTGCGGACAAGTTGGTGATACTACGGTCTGGTAGGAACACGCTGCTCTCTGAAATCATAAATTCCTAGAGGTTAGTATTTTATGTCAACGTGGTAGCTCAGGGTAACCCGGATTAGATTTCCGACGGCACCAATGAAACTGTAAAAGTAAAGTTACAGCCTGTTTACGTCCCACAGCTGGGCACAGGCCTCTTCTGAAAGGGTTTTAGGGCAAGGAATAGTCCACCGCGCTGCCCCAATTGGCGAACTTCATATGTCTTCGAAATTTTTTTCTTATTTCTCAGACATGCAGGTTTCCTCACGATGTTTTCCTTCACCGCCGAGCACGTGGTAAATCAGGTCTTAAAATTGCAATTAACAATTTCATTGGTGCCGGCGGGGATCGAACCCGGTTTGCTCGCGTATTGTGAAATTTACAGCGAGCGCTAACCATCTGAGCTACCACGGCTACTATCTAATGCTAATGAAACTGTGTTTTTGCAGAATACAATGCAAGGTATGTTGATTCAAATACCTCACAGTAAAAAGCTTTGAATGGCCTACAAATAACTGTTCCGAATTCGGGTGTTTGTCCTTGTGAAATTTATGTATATAAACTGTCCCCACGATGCAGGAGAAAATCCTAGTGTGGAGATTACGTTTTTAAAAAAAAAAATATATTTTGTCTCGTATCTTGGAGATGTTTTAAAATTATCTGTAAGCCGTAGAAATACTTGTCCCGTGCGGGATTCGAACCCGCGGTTCTCAGAGCAGCAACTCATTGCTAAGCCACTGCGCCACAAAACCGTCGCAGAACTAATATTATAGATTTTATATGGCAAAAAAACCTAACGTGATGTAATATTTTTTGTTGCTACAAACAGACAAATAAATGTTCTTATTTACAAAATTTTAACTAATAAAGAGGTAACAGACGGCACGCAACTACGCAAACAACCTCTTACATAGGTCACGAGTACTGAAGATGCTTCACAGTTTGTGGTTAGTTATCTTCCAACCAACTCTTGCCCGTCAAACCAAAAAACAATAGTGGATGTGCAGCAGTTTGTAAGAAGACCCACCCAGGCGGAATTCTCTTAAGAATAAAAGGTAATAATTTATTAAGAAAGTTGTTGTTAAATCCACACCAATTGTGTTCGGCGTATCACTATTGGTAATGTGTGTATTATAAAAGTTAAAGCTTTCAGGTCAGGTTTACTGTCGTAAACGCTAATGCTGAGGCCATACATGGTCCAGGTCCACAACAAGTGGTCCTGGGTTCGAATTCAGGATCATACCAAAAATCAATTATTGGGTTTTACTATCCAGAAATTCTCAATAGCGGCCCGCAGTCAAGTAGCCGGTGTTTTTTCAGCTCCGTGCGTCGGAAAACACATAAAGGGATTAGTCCTGCGCCTGATCCCCCTCCAGTCGTGTCGGCTTGCCGTAGGTCGTTGCCTTATAGGAGGGATATTAGCCATAGTTGCCACGCTTGGCAAGCGTATTGGCAACTGCAGTTATTTATAAGTTTGGGTTGTTATCAGAAAGATCTATCCCCCATCACCCATCTCCAGTTTCATTTCCCTCTGATATTACTACAGGACTCCCCTCACTCATCTTTACACTTACACGCTTTATACAGAACAACTTTTACGATACATACCGTGGTGTGAGTGAGGAACGCCTTCACCCACTGCTCCGGGTCCGTCGTCGGCGGGTGGAGATGGCGATGCGCCACTGTCCCTCGCCGATTCACCCGTTGGTGAGCTCGGCGATGACACATTTACTGCGGGTAAAACACCTACAGTTTTATACGCAGCGTGCCGATAACCACCGAGTGTTTTCAGTTTGAGTCAGGAAGTTGGCGAGTGTTTTGTCCCAGTGCTTCGAAATCGACGTAGATCCGTTGGTCTTCTGGTTGTAGATCCGTTGGACATCTGATCTCCACCGGTTGTGAGATCAGATATAAGACTAACGGATCTACGTCCTTTTGAACGATTATAATCTTTGAATGGATGAGAGTTGACGACTCCGTGGCGCAGTGGCTTAGCTATGAGTGGCTGCGCTGGGGTCGCGGGTTCGAATCCCGCACGGATCAAGTGTTTGTATGGCCTACAAATAATTGTTCCGGGTCTGGATGAGTGTCCTTGTGCAATTTATGTTTGTAAACTGCCCCCACGATACAGGAGAAAATCCTATGTAGGGGTAACGTCATTTATATCTAAAAAAAAGAGTAAAGGAATGGAGATATATATACATGGTAGAGCCATGCTGCAGTTATATTAGTAGTATAGTTGTAGCACGAATGGGTCGGCTCGACCGTGGAAGGACCACGCTCTTACAGAATACCAGCGTGAAATGATAGCTTGATGCTGCTGTTTTGTATGGTGAGTGTAGAGAACCGGAGACCCTTTTTACTGGAAACGAGGCATTCCATCTTAGTCCTCACGGTTGATAACGCATCTGCATTTTTATTTGTAGTCGAGGATAAATGTAGATGTCTATGTGCCGCAGCAACCACCTACCATCAGGTGGACTGTGTGCTCGTTTGTCACCCTATCCACTGCTGTGCTTGAACATTACACTCAGGCACATTAATGCTGTCCTGCGCAGTTGGCTAGTCTCCCTTGAGGCAGGCCGCCGTGATCAAAATTCGGTCTGGAGGACATTGTTATTTATTATTATACGCAGCTTAAGGATTTACCGTGCGGTGACCACATAACAGAATATATGAAGCGCCCTGTGAAAATAACTATCTATCAATCAGTTTTTTTTAATCAAATTGAAGTGACAAACGAATTCGCAGTCCACCTGATGGTAGGTAGCTATTGTAGCCCTTGGACATTGACAATACAACGAGAGAACAAAAAATTTAACACCCGAAGCAATGCCGTTAGTCCTGCGCCTGATCTTCACTGGTCGTGGCGAATCGCCTTCTCATAGGACTTTGAGAGTGAGGGAATAGAAAGTGCACTATAATTCTGCTCTGTACAGATTGCTAGCCTTCGTGGGGACCGGTTGCCGTGACTGAAATTTAGACTAGAGGACATTTGGTGATACCAGTTATTAAAAGTTTAGCAATAAAGATTTTTATTTTTTATAGCTACACTTTCATTATACGTCATCGTTACAACCTACCAAGTCAACTACTGAACGTGAGGTTACTTAGATTGGCTCGTATGACGGATATTTTCCACGATGGTTTTTAAACGTCTCATTTTTATTCCCTACAGATATTCTCTTTAACATTATAGGAAGCCGATCCTTTTACGCACTTTGGTACAGTTGTATGGTACTTTCTGGCCTCGGTTTCCACTTACCTTCAGGTCAACTTAGTGTGTACTCGTTTTTTATTGAGTAAGGGTGACAAACGAGTATACAGTCCACCTGATGATAAATGGATATTGCGGCTCCAAGGCTTCTTTAGCTATCCCTGTTAAAGAATCAAAGTACAAATGCCTTGTCACCCCTGAAGAATAAAGGTGTTTTGTAAAAGGTGTCTGGTTCTCTACACTCACCATACGAAACACGGCAGCATTAAGCTGCTATTTTAAGCTGGTAAACTTCATCGAAGCTTTAATTTACATATTTTACACTAGGCAGTATTATGAGCATTATATTTATACGGGGTAGAGCCATGCTGCAGTTATATTAGTAGTATAGTTGTAGCACGAATGGCTCGGTTCGACCGGGGGAAAACCACGCTCTCACAGAATACCAGCATAAAATAGTAGCTTAATGCTCCTGTCTTTCGTAGCGAGTGTAGAGCGTAGACAAAGCATCTGCATTTTGATTTGTAATCGAGGATAGATGTAGATGTCTATGGGCCGCAGCAACAAGTTATCATCAGGTGGACTGTGTGCTCGTTTGTCACCCTATCCTATAAAAAAAAAGAATAAACTCAATGCTTGATTTTATTAACTCATTCATATTTTCATTTATTATAGCATATCAAAGTCCATCTCTAAACGTAGGCTTCTCGATACGGCGTATCATTACGCTTTATATGCCGTAGCATTTGACTTTCAACTTAAAAATAAGTTGTCTCATAATAATATTTGCTATAGTTGCCAAACTTGCCAGGTGGGTTGGCAATCGCAGTTTCTTATTTCAGATTGACAATTAAAATAAATGAACAAATTTTTAATGTATTTATCGCCATTATCAATTTAAAATGAAATTGGTCCTTCGAGCCTTTATACGATAACGAGGTATCTAGTCTAGTATAAGGAAAAGTTTACTGGTATGGAATTCAAACTACAAACTCCGTGCACAATGCCATGCTCAGTTAGTTTATTCTACAAGCAAATAATACGTTAAGCGTCCTACGAAATACATAACTGAATATTATTTTGCAATAACCAGCCAAATTTGCAGAGGGTGCAGAATAAGAAATAAAGGCAAATGGTGAAGAAAAATTAATTAAAAAAATCTGAAACATCCTGTTCTTTTTATCTTTTAAATTCGAAATGCGTGGTAATGCATTTATTTTAATCGATTTTAGTGCCCACGCACACATTCGTAAGGGTCGATCGGTAGGAAAAATCCTTGTTGCCCATAAATCACATTCATTTAAAAAGCCTTATTTACTTGTATTTTCACAAACTGCAATAACGGTTGTGACGTAGAGCAGTCCAAATGACATACATATTAATGTAAACTGTAGTTATTAAGAGCGGTATCATTAAAGTATTAATACCAACAACACGTCTCCTTCATTAACACCTTTCATACGTTACACGGTATATCATTATTTGTATACTTGAACTTAAGTTTGAAATTTGGGTACTCTGAAAAATAATCCTGTATAACAACTCTCGCCGCGCGATAGGTTATAATCTTATAACATGTGTTACTGGTAAAGACTTCCATTCAGGAGTCCACATAAATACTTTAAATACGTTGTACGATTTAATCTAAAATGTGCATGCATTATCGGGTAACGATTTAATGACACTGTTGCCAAATAAATCCATAGTTATTACGCCTTAAAAAGCACGCAAGATTTTAAAATTTAATTGTGACACTGCAACTGTCAACTGTGAGAATTCCCCCTTCGATCACAAATACACTAATAACAACAATAGTTATTTTGACAGCTGATCAATTGCTGACATGAAAATGGTAACTTATTATGATGATGTATTGGGTCCTTACATATGAAATTAGCGTTTAGTCGTAATGACTACTTTGATCTGAAATAATATCTCCTCTTTGATGAAGAATTCCAAATTCAAATTTATAAATTCATTTAGCTTACATTTGATTTTTGAAAACAGTCATTCGTATTTGTTTTTTTCTTCATTATTTTTTCTTTGGCGTCGCTTATTACCGCACAATGGAAAACATGAAATATCTGTATATTTATGAGTACGAGTTCTACCGTGGCACCAGTGCTGCAGAAACAGCTCGAAGGATTAATGATGTGTACGGCGCTGGTGTCGCAAAAGAAAACACGGTACGTTTTTGGTTTCAACGTTTTCGTTCTGGAAATTTCGACCTTGAGAACCAACCCCGTGGACGGCCGGAGAACAAAGTGGAAAATGAAGAATTAAAGGCTATTGTGGAAGTGGATCCACCACAAAGCACTTCAGAGATTCACCGATTCAACCGAGATTGGTCAATCGCTCTAGGCCACTGCTGCTTCACGACAACGCAAGACCACACACTGCACAACAAACAACCACTAAGTTAGATGAGCTACAATTGGAATAATGATTTCTTATATTTACGCGAACACTACACATTGAAATAATACTAGTTTTTACGGAATTTATCGCGTATATGTAACTTTTTTCGAACGCTTTACACCACTCATGGTCCCGGGCGGGACTGAATGTTCAACGTCCATATGTCATAGTTGACCGCGGTTACCATAGATTAAAATTTAACTTTTGTTCCGATCTATGCAGTATGAACTTATGGTATCTTGAAGTCTTGCAGTTGTATGCTTGGGTTGGGATTTATATTTATTTATTATAGGATCTCAAGCAGATGGTAGCACCCAGCCATCTTCTCTATTGAAATTAGGATGTTTTTTGATTTCAATAGCCTCGCGAATCATCCTTGGAAGGAATCGGTGTTCTTTAGCGAGGATTTGCGGTCTATCAAATCTCATGTAGTGACGGGGGCGATCCTGTACGTGTTCACAGACTGCAGACTTCCCGGAGCGTCGATTCTACACATCAACGTCGGGTATTTAAAAAGTTAAATATACGCGATAAATTCCGTAAAAACTAGTATTATTTCAATACAATTGGAATGTGCGATATCCAGCCGGACCCACAGATTACCATTTTTTCCGGAATTTGAACACAACTTCTTACCAACACCGATGCTGCGTCCAACCCGCCTTCAAAGAGTTTATTGATTCTAGCCCCCATCGTTTTTAGTAAAGGGATCAATGAACTACATATGAGATGGTAAAAATGCATAGATAACAACGGTGCATACTTCGATTAATATAATACATAATAATAATATAAAATAATAATACGGCAGTTTCCGGTCCACGAGACCGTATTTCAGAGCGAGCTCCTGGTGTAGTATTCTGGCTACTAGGTTGTGTCTTCGCAAGTACTCAGAGTTAGAAAGCGCCGAACAACCGGAGATGACATGCCTAAGTGACAGTGACAGTAAGCTCGACAGACGTCGACGGTGCCATCCTTTAGGATGTATCTCCGATAGTTGTTGGTCTTAATAACCTGATCCTGTACTGCAAGACAAAACCCTCGGTTTCCCCGAAGAGGTCACCGAAACGTAGCCAGTTGAGGGAGGCGACTGTGTCTACGAAAGGTTCATGTAGAGCCTTGTAGAACCTCCCGTGTAGCTCCTTCTCCTTCCATTCTTCCTTCCGTCTCTCGGTCGAAAATGCTCTGTACTGCCGGTTCTTGCCATTGCTCGTTGGCCAAGGATAGAGGGGTAAGCTCTTTATCACAACAAATGACGCCCCTATAGAATGGATCATCCGATCTCGTCAGAAAGTAATTACGAAGGCTGCACACTTCGCGATTATACATGGTGAGCGCGCTTAATAAGCCGCGCCCACCATATTTTCGCGGCAAGTACAGCCTCGTAATCGAAGATCTCGGGTGATGCATCCTATGGTACGTCATAGTAGTGCGGACTTTTCTATCCAAGGCGTTCAGCTCAGTCTGAGTCCACCTGAGTATGCCAAAGGTATACATGAGTACAGGCATGACCCAACTGTAATATGCTTGTGTCTTATTCACACCGGACAAAAGGCTGTTAAGCACTTTGGTCAAGCGTGCATAAAACACATCGCAAACAGACTGTTTCATACAAGCTTCATCGATACCGATGTTCTGTGACATACCCAGGCATCGGTATATTTCAGCCTCGGAAAGGATCCTTAAGTTGACGGGCAGAGATAAGTCTATGCCCTGAGAGTTAGCTACCCTTCCCCTTTCAACATGGAGGACCGCACACTTATCTGTTCCCAGCTCCATTCCAATAGAACTACTAAATTCACAAGTGATATTTAGCAATTCCATAAGATGGGAGCGACTGGAGGCGAATAACTTGAGGTCATCCATATAGAAAAGGTGGGTCACTTTTGTACCTCCTTTCCGAAGCTGAAATCCCTTCCTAGAGCCCTCCAGTAAAGTACTGAGACGGTTCAAAGAGAGGCAGAACCAGATTGGACTCAGACAATCGCCCTGGAAGATACCCCTTCTTATCCTTATGCGGCTTTCCGCAGCCGTCATCCGCTCACCCAGATGACAAAGTATCGTACTCCACTGCCCCATACATTGCTCGAGGAAGTCTCTAACTGTACAGTCAACCTTGTACAGCTCGAGCACCCTCTTTAGCCATGTATAGGGAACAGAGTCGAATGTCTTTCTGTAGTCTATCCAGGCGGCGGAGAAGTTCCGACGGTTGCGTTTCACCACTTTGCCACTTATTATTATTATTATGCACCTAATGAAAGTGATTGGTCAGTAAATAGTCAGCATTAATTTTTATAGCTTATTTTTAAATAATAAAGTTAATTTGAAACAAAACAGGTTACAGGCATACTACAAAAAGCTACTGATTGATAACTTGATACTATGCACCCTGAGACATCCGACTTATTGATATACAAAAAACCCAAGATGCACAGTCTCGAACAAAAGTAACACTCAAAACTGTCGCCAATTATACATCAGTAGTTATAGTTATCATATAAACATATTTTTGCAAATTCAACCTTACGTGCATGATCAAAAGTTGTTTTTAAAAAGCAATGTCTAAAAAGCAATAAAACTTTATGTTCGAAATTTGCCAGTAGGACAAGGCAAGAAGTGGAGACGAATATTTTTATTATATTTTTATACACTTACTTAGTATTATACAAATTTTACAAATTTATATATTTATATATATGTGTGTGTGTGTATGTGTCTTAACTTCAAGAAGTTTAGTTCTTTGGTTCGAGACTAGATGGCGCTAGTGCGCCGATTTGAGCGCGTAACAATATTTATATACACAATAATTTCAGTACTTATTCCAAATAACACAGTAGCTTATTGTAGAGTTGATTTTTACAAGACATCTACGTATAATCAAAAACAACTTTCTTCTAAAAAAAAAAACGAGTAATACTTGAAACATTCCTCCCACTCAAGCCTGCGGTTATCAGCAACACGTATAAACAGAACAAAGTACATTTTTATGGTCTGTCATCGTTAGATGAACAGTTCCATTATGTATCTCCAAAGTTCATCACCAGATTGTGATTATGTTCATGTAGGTACATTTGGAGATTACATTATTACAAATAAAATAAAAAGAACTACTCAATTAGGCACATAAAATAAGTAATTGATATACAAAACATTTGAAAAAATAATGATCGAATTAATAAATGCTTCTCTTTTTGGAAATCTCTTAAAAACTATAAAATGTACTACTAACTATAATATATATATATATAATATATAAATGTTAATTAAAAACTAAATACAAAAAAGCACAAAAGTTAATAAACTTGTTAGTTAAAACATTAAGCACAATAATAAAAAATCGATTCCATAGAATAAGAACAGAGTTCATTTGTATTATTCTACTAAAATAAAAGGTTGTAATACATTGTCCTATGGCTGTACAGCAGCGTAGTGAGGCCGATTCTCACCTACGCCTCTATTGTCTGATGTAACAATACCAACCAAAAGACGACTGCGGACGGACTAAATAGTCTACAAAGGACTGCCTGCCTAATGGCAACTGGAGCTATGCGATCATACCCTGGAGCGGCTCTTAATGCACTTCTATGCCTAACGCCCCTTGATCTCTATCTAGACAAGGAGGCGAGGGCTAGTTTGTATAGGATTAACGCCCAGGGCGGTCTGAGCTTGCTCTCCTACAGATTGAGATCCATGCTCGACTCAATTAAGGAATCACCGGTCTTATGCATGATCTCAGATATCATACGTCCACTACACACTTTTTATAAAAAGTATATAGTGGAATTACCCTCCAGAGAAGACTGGCTGAATGGCCAGGTTATCTGTGAGGTCGGTAGCCTCATATGGTACACCGATGGGCCTCGACGTAGGCTTTGGAATTTAGGGGGAACGCCCCAAATTCAAACTTAGTACGAATTTGGGTAGATACACCTCTATCTTCGAGGCAGAAATTTTCGCCATACTTCGGTGTGCGGAAATCAATCTGCAAAAACACTACGTCAACCATAAAATTTACATAAACTCTGATAGTCAAGCAGCACTGCTAGCGCTGAGATCAAACTTAGAGCACTCAAAGCTAGTTGGAGACTGCGTGAACCGTTTAAACGCCCTGGGATGTAACAACAGGGTCGTTTTAAGATGGGTTCCGGGTCACGAGGGTATTGTAGGCAACGAATTTGCCTACAAACTTTCACGGGAGGGCTCAAAGTGCACACAATTTGGACCCGAGCCATTTTGTGGAATCTCAAGAAGCCTAGCGCGATTGACCCCTGAAACTCTTTATCACAATAAATCACTGATCTGGTCTGACACACCAGGCTTATAACATTCTAAAACCTTAATCCGATCTTTTGATCATAAATTCGCTTCAGAAGCTCTGGGATTAAGTAAAAATAAATTGCGCATTCTGGCAAAAGCCCTAACTGGACACTGTTGTCTTAAAAAGCACATGTCCATCCTGGAACTAAGCAACTCAAGGATGTGTCGGTTCTGTTCCATAACGGAAGAAACACCTCTACACATCCTAACCGATTGCAGATTCTTAATGCGCAAACGTAACACTCATCTGGGACACTATCTACTCCGCCCAGAAGAAGTGAAATTGCTCACGGCTAAGCAACTCCTTCGTTTCATTGAAGACATAGGACAAAGTGATATTTTAATATAATCTTGACTTGCCTTGATAACTGTTGACATGTACACCTTAACTTGACATTTTTAATTTTTTTATTTTTTTTTTATTTTGGTATTAAGACTGGATCAAATTTTGTATTATTTCTTGTTTATTGTTAACGTCTATGTATATGTGTGTTATTTATATTGTGACATTTTATTCCTAGGTTTATCACTGAATTGTAATTAATCATAGATATCCATAAAACATTTGTATAGTACTAGACTGACAATTATAAAATTATATATTTGCATGCCACTGGCGAAATATGATTGTACCATACCAAATTATTAATCCTGTAACTACCATATTTCTTGCAAATAAATCATTATTATTATTATTATGTGTGGGGTATCTATATAGTTTTCTCATCTGGTTGGGATGTATAAATATATAATTATAAACGAAAATGAAAAGATAAATATACATAAATATCAATAAAATAAAATAAATACGAAAATACATAAATAAATAAAAGCCCAACCAGATGGAAGCCCTCGGCAGGGGGAGCCGTAATAATAATAATAATAATAATTATTATGGGGTATCTATATAGTTTTCTCATCTGGTTGGGTTCTATAAATATATAATTATAAATGAAAATGAAAAGATAAATATACATAAATATCAATAACATAAAATAAATATAAAAGTACATAAATAAGTAAAAGCCCAACCAGATGGAGGCCCTCGGCAGGGGAGACCAAACGGCCGAGGATTATTATTATTATTATTATTAGGGCTTAGCCGTGAACTATAGCCATAGCAGGGATCACAATAGATCTTTTAGATCGCAGTGATACTGGTCTCTTTACCTAGACCTGCATAGCTGCTCACATATAATAAAAAAATACTACTTAATAAATACTTAATACTTTCCGACAGTACGATATTCCATCCTTTTTTAACGTTCATTTTTTAACGTTCATGCAGAGAAGCGAGCGACGCGATACTACTTGAAATAAGCGCACAATTTTTAAATGAGCGGTCATTTTTTGAGGCCGTTTTTGAGACGCTGAATGTCTATCTTGGGTTGTTGGTATATCAATGATCCGACTAGTATTATTAAAATAACATTAATAACACAAATATATCACTTCAATTGTTATAGTTAAAATCTCAGAATTATACAAGGTAAATTAACAACCATAATAACTATGATACCTTAGTTTACCTCAAGGCTCACATTCTGGACCTAATAGTTTTTGTATTTGTAATTTGACATTTATTATAAATATCCAAGATACTAGCATACTACATATAAGGTTTAAAGATAAAATGTTCATAAATGTATAGAGTCCTCTATATATTAGAAGAGCCAACAGGTGACTTGTACAAGGGGCTGGTAAAAGTGAAATAAGGATATTAAGGAATAAAGACGATGGAAGAAGATAAACGTATGACAGTTAAAAGTCACTGGCTCGATACGCTACGTGGACACATTTCTCAAGATAAAGAGACCCTTTTCAGTCGTGGTATTATTGATACTGTGTACTGTGTATTTATTACCAAGCAGTTTAGTTATGTGGGTAATCAAAAACATATTGCGTATATATACTATTTTATTTCAATCAACTATAATTAATCAATAATTTGTGTTGCATTCTCGCTGGTCATTCCCGATGGCGATCGTTCAGGATTCGTTAGTGCAGCTTATTAGATAAGTTCTAGGGGAGAAACAAAACAAAATGATTAGGTTGGAAAATCAAAATAACATGGTAGTGACAATGAGGGTAGTATTAACTATACAGGACACAAATATAAGACAGAAAAACATCTCAAACATTGTTAATAATTTGGTAAAGAAAGAATTTGGACTATTCTGAAGGATAGAAATGAACGATACGGAAAGTGTCAAGATATGGAAGGAGCGGATACATCCAGGGCAGGTAGGTTATGTTAATGCGAACACGTCACTGAGTGGGAGCGATAGAATATAAATTTATTATACTTTGATAGCATAGATTATTATACAATTTATATATCAGTATACCATATAATATAATATTTATTTTGTGTAATTGTAATTAGGTATCAGTTTTTTAAATTCTATATTGCTACACCTACATCACTGTTTCACCACCCAATGGGTTGGCTCGTTCAAAATACTTAATTACGGCAATTAAGTCGAACCTTTTTAACCTTTAATAAAAGGGAATTTAATAAGGACTAATTAAATAAAGTTATGAAATTCATAATTCTGTCAATAGTAACTAATTTATTTTATGCCTTGAATTTTTACATTTACTTATTAAGTTTCTTGTACCTATTTTTAAATGTTAGCTACAATTCACTTGATAAGAATTGGTAGAAGTAGCCCATGAACACCTGCTAAGCACTTTAAGCATAGAAGACTGCATGATCAGAGTATTACCTTTCTCTATGATAGTCTTTATATGTTCTATGATCAATTAGAATTACTATGTTATACTGAATAACATTAACGATCCAATAGATGAAGTGACCATGTGATGAAACATGTAGGGAACTTGACGGATACATATTCAGTGGACTTGTGATATAATGATAATAAACTAATAACTATATTCTCTATACTCTAGGTTTATAATCGTACTTCAATTTTTGTACGATATTAGTCAATTTTATACGACCACTAACGACCCTCCCCGGCTTCGCAAATTTCTGGATCTCGACAACAGCGCCACCTACCGGGTCCAAATGTGAATCTAAACCATCTCATCGTTTTTGAGTTTTGTAGAGACCAGCGGACAGGATTTTTTTAATGTATAGAGATAACCATGTAAAAAAGTTGCTTAAACATGATATCTAGTAGAAGTATAAAAAGATGAATAGACTTAGGGGAGTAACCGACCCAAAAAATAGGATGTCTATTGAACTGTGTTTTTGCATTCATTGCAACTTACGAAAAATCCGCATCTGTACATGGGCTTCATCCATAGATTGCCTCATGGAAGGGATATTTGGCATAGTTGCTGCGCTTGGTTAGCAACCCACCTGGTTAGCAACTATACTTCTTGATTTTCCTAAAGCTATTTCGCAATGTTTTCATACTTATTATATAAAATATATTATAAATTAATGTTTAAAAATAGTCACACTGGGTTTTTTGCTAGATTTTCCCCAGGACAGAGGTTTTTTCCGAACCACTGGTAAATCTCAAATGACATTCAATAAGTATTCTCGTAACTTATATTTAAAAAAAAACATGATTCTATTCTATTTGTTATGGGAAACACGCTGCTGCTCATCTCCTTTTTAATTTTTGTTGCCTTTTACATCACTCATGGGATGATATCAGATAGTTGTTTCTCCTACACGTTACCCGTCTAGGTAACAATTCGCGGTACGAAAGTATAGCAGTGACCGTTATTGCGCGTAATTGGCCGTATAACGCATTATTGCGTATGATTGGCTGTGCGTATCGTTTGCACGCATTTTCCACGTTGCGTTCAGCGCTAGAGTAACGAGCCGCGAGTTGTACACGGTTCAAGATTAAATAGTTGCAATTAATGTTTAATTTTGATAGTAAATTTTCGTTTATGAAACGTCTTAAAGGTTAGGTTGGGTTCTCTTTTTAAACACACAAAATAAATGATATGACAGTTCTGTCAGATCATTAACGTTTACATGAAGATTTCTCTCTCAGGTCCTTATGGGTGACATCGCGTCTGAATTTTGATTCGTAATCGAGGAAAGATGACGATTTCTATGGGTCACAGCAACCACTTACCATCAGGTGGACTGTGTGCTAGTTTGTCGCCCTTATATACTATTAAAAGTAATCGAAACGCATTTGTCCACAATAGTTTGCCATGTTATTAATCACACTGGCAACACTAGAACTTCAGATAGATATGTTTAAATAAACTAGATTTTTATTTATTAAATATGCGTATATATAAATATATTGATAACAGACATACAGACAGTTTGATAAGACATGCAGGAAGTCTATAGATAGCAGGTAGCTGAGGACCGTGACTATGAACATTGACTAAATAAAATATTTCTTTATAATGTTGCTGTTGACAAATCGTCGAATGGATTTTAGGTTTGTTTTAGAAGAGATTTAAATGTATAAAAAAAAGTTGGCTGTCTGTAGAGTCGATTTACGGACGATAGTTTGACGTGACAACGTCACAACAAAACATTGATGAAATATAATACTTTAAATGATGCGGCAGAAGCCGATCGTGCTTTTCGCTCGCTCGTGCAGCGCTCTCGCTCCAATCGTAACGTTACAATGAGTCATCCTTTTTCGTGCATGCAACCGACGTTCATCGATTTATTAGACGCCACGTCAACAAATATTGGCCTCAGGAATATCTTTAACTTGTTTTACTTGATTATGAAACAAATAGCATGTCAGACTCACCAGCATTATGATTGTGACTGTTGGTCTTCTGGTATAAGGTGTCGGGCCATGGAGGTGAGGGTCTAGAGAACAACGACTCGTCCGTGATCCCGTCTACTGACTGTGGGCCCTCCTGTAACATATATAGGCATAAGTTAGAAAGAGATCTTTATTATAGAATAAGAGTGACAAAAGATGCTCTTTTGTCATGACTATATGGTGTAGTGTTTTTTTATAGGATAAGGGTGTCAAACGAGCACACAATCCACCTCGTAAGTGGATGCTGTAACCCATAGTCATTTACATCTATCTTCAATTAACCTCTTAAACGACAAGCGTCCAAATTTGACCGCTTCGATATTCCATCAAAATTCAAGAGGTCAAATGTGACCGCAGCCCACTCACAGCACTTTAACCCATAAATACTTATGCTTAGACTATTTTTCTATGAAGAAGTTTGGCATTATACAATCAATATGAATATTCTATCCTCTAGTGGAATAAAGTCAGTTAGTCTATGGGTATTTATTAATAATCTACGTTCATTTCATATGAATGTTATTGTGTTGATTTTTGGATTTTTCTAGTGTTTTATTAGTGTTTTAGTATTGTGTTTTATTATAAAATTGTAATGAAAGTTTTTGTGTGAATATAATTTACTTTTTACGTAAATAATTTCGAGTAATATATATTGAAATAATTGTGATTTTCACGCTGCCGACATCCGCTTGGTATGTTTTTTTTTGTTATTAAAATACAATAAAATGTTTTTGTAATGAAGTAAAACCTGACTTTTGTTTAGACCACAGAATAGAGAATTTTGTATAGATTTTATAATACTAAACTTCTTCGTAGAGAAGTAGTCTCTAAATATAAGTTTTAATGGTTTTAAGTGCTGTGGGTGGGAGCGGTCACATGCGACCGCTCGGGATTTGACGGGCGCATGCGACTGCATGAGATTTTTATGGGAATTGAAGAGTTAAGTACCAAAATGCAGATGCATTGTTACCCCTGAGAACTAAAATGCAAAGCCTCGTATCCCGTAAAAAAGTCTCCGGTTCTCTACACTCGCCAGCTAAAACACAATTTAGCATTATGCTGATATTTCACGCTGGTATTTTGTGAGAGCATTATCCTTCCCCAATTGAGCTGACCCATTTGTGCAACAACTATATAGTTGCTGCATGGCCCTACCACATATGAAATCTTAAGTTAACTATGATATATTGCTCACAAATTTATGATTAGATTGATGAAAATGTAATTTGTGTATATAAAACACAAATAGTTTTGATTAGAATGAAGATATTCATATTTTAAACACCAAGAATGAACATAGGCTTGTAATGCCACTTACTAGACCCCATAAGGTTATAATTAATTTTTTATAGGAGCATTGTATACACTTTTACAACGAAATTCCAAAAAATATTCAAAGTTAGTCAATCAACAAGTTTAATTTTTTTTAAAAGTCTGTTCAAAACAGGTTATTATAATATTAAGGAGGAAGGACATAAATGATTGCTTTCACCTCGTAGAAATGAGGTGATCAGTTATCATACTAGTTCTATTATAATTCAAATAAAAAATTCTATTATAATAGAAAGTTATTGTAAAGTTAAATTTTGTTGGAAAATAAATCGTTCTGGGTTTCTTGCTGGCTCCTCCCAGGTCAGAGGTATTTTACCAAACAGTGAATAGTAAAGAACGACACTTCAGAAGCTTTATGAAAGTATTATCTATATTGAATAAAAGTTATTCTCTTCTGTTCTATTCTATTCTGCTGTAATGGATATGATAAACAATTCTATAAATGTTCACATACTGCAGAGTAGCTTTTTAAACATCAAGAGGGATTTCATTAGGCTGTTAGCGCAATTAATGAATGAAGGAATGAAAGCTTCATATTACCGGCGGCGTGCGCGAGAACACTGCTACATGCACAGTCATGTATGCGTGACTTGTCACCGATAAGGCGCGGGGGGCGTACACCGGCGCCCACTAGGGTACAAACTAAGGTTGTTCAAAACGACTATAAATCAATAGCACGCTACAGGCGATAAACTATAAATTTCTAGCTTTATTATATATGTTATAGCGCGCTATTTACAAGAAATCGTGTGAGCCGGCAAGCGCGTAAAGTTTTGCAGCAAGCTTAATCTCGTAGCACGTTACATTACATGACGTTCGTTGGATAGACCGCGTGCTATATTTCGGATATACAGATATTACTGTATATGCATTATTTTTTAATAAGTCGCATTTAAGACCAAAATAAAGCAGTAATTAAAAACCAATTAACACTTTCATAATTTTCAGTAGTTTATTCTTTACTATAATCGATGTAAACGGTATTTTAACCGTAATGTAAATTGATTTTACAATTCGCCTCTAATTGATAAATCAATTTACTTTAAGGTTTTTAAGGCATTTAAGGTATTTAAAAGTTTATTGAGTGTATATACAAAAATCAACTATTTATATACACTATTATGTACACTTTTGTATCTATATTTAATTTACATTTAAAAATATTAGTTAGGCTACTTTTGTAGCAGACACCATGTCCTTCGACAACTTATTGCCGCTAAATATTATAGCGCCATAGCGCCATGACGACATGGTGGCTACTTACATAGCACGCGTCTTTACTCACTCACACACATTGTGCTGTTATGGCGAGATTGAGATATTATTTAATCAGTGTAGCATAAAGAAGTAGCAACTTAATAAGTAATTCAATGAAATTATGTTTATTTGAAGAAATTGACGACCCCGTCGCGTAGTGACTTAACATTGAGTTGCGTTACTAAAGTCCTGGGGTTCAAATTCCACACATTTGTTACGTGTGGTATTTGTATGGCCTACAAATAATTGTTCCTGGTCTGTATGTATGTATTTGTACAATTTACGTATGTAAATTATATTCACGAAGTTAAAGAAAAAAGAATAAATTCCAATTTCACACACACAATGTGCCCTAGAGTAAAAGTGGGACATCAATTATCTTGTAACCACAATAACTTGGAACAACCTACCTGCCCCTTATAGAACTTGGACTCCGTGACATGATGGATGGTTACTTCGTTGTTTAGCTTTGAGCCGACCCGCAGACGTTGAAAGTATGGCAACGGATCACCGTTGGAAATGTGGTTCACACCAGTGTCCTCAGTTTTACACACACTACTAGCACCAACTTCACTTTTATCATTAAACAGTGCATTTCTAAACACATTCCTATCCTCTTGACCAAATGGAGTGTACAGACTCCCACTAAATTCACTTCCTTCATCTCTTCTTAGTGGAGTTCCGATGGGTTCAGGCCTTTGTATCGGGTTCGCGAAAAGAGACTCGCTCTCGAAAGTTCTATTGGTGTCGGCGTTAGGCCTGGTGCCGATCGGATTTGGTGACACCACCGGTTTTGGTACTGCATCATCGACATAGTACTCTGGAGCCAGGAAGTTTCTCTGCTGATTGTCCTCGGGTGTCTTGAACAGGGAATAACCTTCTTCATTCTTCTGCGTGAACGAGGCTAGGTTCATTATCCTGTTTTGAAAGTCGTTTTCAGGGTTTTTAGGAGAATTTCTGGATGGGTCTAGAACGTAAGTCTGTGTTGGGACGCTCTGGACTGGGTTGTATACATTCGGATTGACGTAGGTGTATTGGGGTTGGTTGAAGAGCGGGTTAATGGGGTTCACAGGTGCGCTAGGGTTCCTCAGGCCCATCAGGCTCTGCTGATGCATCATGGACATTAGGGGGTTGCGTATAGTATACATTCCGTTAGATGTCGGCGTAATGGTAGCTTGACATGCGGTGGGCGGCATCGGGATCGGGTCCGGGATTCGTATCTCGGCCTTCTTTTGCGCTGCCGGGGCGTTCGTTATTTGCACAGGGGGTAGGTTTGGATGGAACATTGGGTTCCTAAGAGTGACCATCTTAGCACCATCTTGCTTGGCGTCAGTTGTTTCAGCGGCGGCTGCGGCGGCTTTTTTCGCCTTCTTCTTGGCCTTTTTCGACTTGCCGGTTGTCTGTGATTGAGGCTGTGGCGGTTCGGGTAGGATGCTAGTTTTTAGTGGATCTGGAAAAGAATTTTTTTTTCTATAAGATAGGGAGACGAACGAGCACACATAAATAGCTCATAGACGTCTACATCTGTCCACGATTAAAAAACAAAATGCAGATGCGTTTTCACCCGTGAGGACTACGATGGAATGCCTCGTTTCCAGTAAAATGGGTCTCCGGTTCTCTACACTCACCATACGAAACACAGCAGCATTAAGCTGCTATTTGACGCTGGTATTCTGTGAGAGCGTGGTCCTTCCCCGGTCGAGCCGACCCATTCGTACTACAACAATACTACTAATATAATTATTAATATAATACAACAATTATTTCCTAATCTATCATTATAGAAGAAAATGCAAATTGTAATGTGTTTATTTTTCATTACATTTAAATTAAAAAAAAAAAAAACAATATAAAACGTCCATCCATACAATTTTACTGCTAAACATACGCCTCCCCTGTAAATTGTCTCATAAGAGGGATTTTGCCTTAGCTGCCTTGCTTTTCAGGAGGATTGGTGACCGCAGTTTTTTGTTATTATGAGTTGTTATCTGGAAGATGTTGCTACTCGTATCGAGTTACTCAGTCGCCTCTTATGACTATAGGCCAATATGAAGAAGTGGATGATCTTACACCGCCTCTACAACTTACAATTTGACCTTGTTTTACCCCAATCACTATACCTTGGGAGAGGCATATGTTCAGCAGTGGACTTATAAAGGTAAAGCCTATATACGTCCCACTGCTGGGCACAGGCCTCCTCTCATTACTGAGTTTTAGGGCATGGAAGTGTCCGCCGCGCTACTCCAATGCGTGTTCGCGAACTTCACATATCTTCGAAATATTTTTGCTTATTCTTCAGACACACATAATTTGATTCCTCCCTCTCCCTTCCACCATCGAACAACCAGACGTTCAGCCAGTCTCCACCCTTTCGTTGTTGACTTACCACGCATTCGAACCAAACGGTTTGCTACTTCGTTCGTCATGCGTACAGCAAAGGAGTGTAATAAGTTGCCAGCATCTGTCTTTCCATCCGATTACAATGTGTGTGTCTTCAAGGCAAGAGTAAGTGAATAGGTAAATCAGTGCGCTTTACCACTAAGCTACATCACCACTTACCATCAGGTGGGATTGTGTAGCTAAGTGCTGGCTTAGCAACGTAAAAAAAACGATTTGCTCACGATGTTTTCCTTCACCGTCGAGCACGTTGCAAATCAGAACTTTAAAATTGCAGTTAACAATTTCATTGGTGCCGGCGGAGATCGAACCCGGGCTACTCGCGTACTGAGATATTTACAGCGAGCGGTAACCATCTGAGCTAGCACGGCTCAGTGGACGGACGGCTAGTGGACAGACTGTAATGACGATGATGATGAGCACTTAGTGTAAGAGCCCTCTCATTAGGCCATGGCATCGACGCCGGCAGTGCTTCCATGGATACCATTGGCGTCCATGAGACGCCAAAACTAGTCGCCGATGTCAGGCGAAATTAGTATCGCTTGTTCATGCAACCACAACGGACGTCGAAGAGATTGCGATCCTCATTCTTTGCCGCCGTAGGCAAATAAAACGAAAAAATAAAAAGAAACTGTGGGTACACCCTTTTATTGCCGATCGAATGAGAAGTGGCATTTTTTACAAATTATAAGACGACTTACGAAAATATCGTAACAATTGTCTTAATTAAGTGAGGATGTCTGTGCTATCATTTGATGAATTACTCACTACACACACACTACACAGCGTGGCGCCGCTGCGAAGACAAGCAAGCGGGCGGCTTCGAGCTGGCATCGCCGCCAAAATGGCGTCGACGCCAAGCCATTGCCAAGTGAGGTAAGGTTATGTACGTTCTAATAGAATTTAATATGTTATAATTGGCGACGCTGCCGGCGTCGATGCCATGGCATCCTAATGAGATAGGCCTCTAAGTGTGTGGGTACGTACCTGCGTGCGGCGTAGTGTATACCGGTGCGACGGGCTGCGCGTTGATGATGGGGGCGGGTCGCGCCACAGGCGTGGGCGTCGCCGCCAGTGCCGAGCATCGCCACAGCGGCTGCGCACACAAACACACACGCACTCAGATACCGTTCACGAGGACACCTGTCTCGTGAGCGGTATCAGAGTTGGAGGCAAATTTTGAATACGTGCCCGAAATAACAAAGAAAACAATACTAAAGAATATCGGTTACAGTGTGCTGTGAACAGTGTATTTATTTAAGTTTCTATTTTTTAATTTTTTAAAAGAAAAATGGCTCCATCGTTTAACCGATGATTTTCTGCCAATATCGAGGTTTAGAATACAAAGGGATATTTAAAAAAAGGGGGGAAAACCATTGACGTGTATATTGACTAAGCTAGTTTTAGGGACGATTTTGTGTAAAAGGAAATAAACAACACAAGATTAGTTACAAGTTACGTTTTTTTGCGTATAGGACCAAATAATTGCACAAAGAGACATTTTTGACGCTTTTTTGGTAACGTACGTGAGGGTCATTAATATAGTCATACCTGGTTACTATGATCACTTTCTTATAACTCAAAAACTACAACCTTGTTTGCATAAAGGGCACTGTGATACGATAGCTAAAAAGGGCGTTGCTTTATCAATGCCATTTTGACAGTTAAAGTATGTTAATATATTAATTGTTTTTTAAGTTGATTTTTCGAAGCGTTTCTAATTAATACCAAAGCTCACTATTTTAGAGAGTACTTCGTAAAGGAACTTACTCGCAGTATACACGGCACGAACAGAAACGTTACCATGGACAACTGGTTCACGTCAATACCACCTGCAAAACAGTTACTTCGACACCCTTACAAATCAACAATTGTGAGGACATTACGATCTAATAAAAGAGAAATTCCGGATGAATTGAAGAACCACAGAACGAGTAATGGAACCAGAAGAGTCAATAAGTCAATGTTCGTGTATGATGGACCCATTACACTTCTTTCGTACAAACCTAAACCTTTAAAATGGTTTACATGCTTTCTTCTTGTTATGAGGAGTTCTCAGTCAATCCAGAAACAAAAAAGCCACGCTTGATTGAATTCTATAATAAGACAAAAGCTGGTGTAGACACACATTTAACCAAATGTGCTCAGTACTGTCATGCAGAAAAACCAGTCGTTGGCGTATAATATGCGTCTTCTATGGAATGATGAATATAGCATGTATCAATAGTTACATAATTTTCTGCCACAATGCCTCTGTACAGGGTCCAAAACTAATGAACCGTCGTGACTTTATATGAAGAAGATGCATTCGCAACTTGTAGAACCATGGCTGAAAATCCGACTGAAAAGTCGTAGCATGCCGACGGACATCAAGAATAAAATCACAAATATATTGGGTTCAGGGCACTATGAAGGTCAAGGTCAGAGTCAGCCACAATCCAGCAATGACCTTCAACCAACAGAGGCACCAAATAGTAGAAAAAGAAAAATCTGTGGTCTGTGTTCATATACCAAAAGGCGCATGACAGTCATCATGTGCTAAATGCGCTCTAAAAAGTCTAAATTTTTATAACGTTATAATTTTGGTGCGCCAAAGAAGAAAAGGCTATTTTTTGTTGTTTTTTAATTTTAATTTTTATAAATATGTTGTCTTCAGTGATCTAGTAAAAGCTAGTGCCTTTCTATAAGAGTGATAAAATAAATACAATTAGTAATAATATAGAAATTCATTGTTTCATTTTATAGAATAATAGTTGGACTAAGTATATTATGTGAAATACATATAACAAAAAGTTATAACGTAAAATTAAAATACCCTAAAAAGTATTCGTCGAATCGATCGATTCGTCGAATGGCTAGGGTTTATAGGGGGCAGGCAAACGTTAGGTGTCTAGGGTTAATAAAGCGAACGTAAAATTATTTTTAAAAACTACAAACGTCTATTAAGATAAGCATAAATTTAATACTGCCGACATTTGGAATGCTGACGAAACTGGTGTAACTACAAATAGGTATAGAGAATAGATCGGTTCAATATTTTTTATATATGACATTGTAAAGAATTTGCGTATTTCGCTTTTTTAGCAAATAATTAGTCTAGAAATTTATCATAATATCATTATTTAAATACGTAGTGCTGTCTTTTTTTTGGATTTCGTTAGTCGGTAGCTGTCTTAATGCTTTATCCTTTCTATTTTACAAAAAAATAAAATGTAAACAAACAAACCTGACTAGTATAATCCGACCAAATTAAGAAACACTCGTTCTAATCTAAAATAGTTTTTAATGAAGTACATACTCTTTAAATTATATCCGCGTATAAAATGATTATAGGTTTTAGAAAGGAAACATCGACTTTTCTTTGTGAATGTCGATTATTTGTTTTATTTTGTCTTAATTTAAATTTTATACGTATTAATTATGACTTTGGCCACAATGTGGGCAGGTCCAAGTGGCAAGAGAGCTAGAGAACGTCCTAAGGAACGCTGGGTAGATGAGATCAAAAAATATGCTGGAAACGACAGGACAAAGAAAGCAAAGACGAGAAAATCCTGGAAACTGTTGCAGGAGGGCCTATACCCGCCAGGGGGCCTTAACTTAGCTATATAAATGTGCATTATATATTAATTAATAAAATTTGATTATAATAAGATTGTACATATAAAGAAAAATTATTTATATGTACAATCTTATTATAATCCAAAATTTTATTTAGTTTTAAAACTCTGTAAGTTAATGAAAATAAAAGAGGCTTTATTATTATTATTATTAATTATGACTTTGACAGTAAAAAGTTTTATATTTATCATAAATGAAAAGAGTATAAACTGGTTATTTGTGATAAACATTTTGCTATGATAAATATCATCATCATATTAGGTTTAAATTGTGAAAGCGACCTCAAAATAACTCTTTTTACGATTTGTTTTTTTCGTAACTTGGATATATAATATAATAAATAATAATAATATAATATATAGCAAAGAAACAAATCTCTTTATAAGGAAGAAGTAATTCTAAAATAAAAGAAGTGAAACGTGAACGTGAAATTTAAATTACAAATAAATTGATAAACTTATTGGAGAAATGATTGCATTTCAAAATTTACCGTTTTACTTTGTTGAAGGGCTGGGTTTTCGCAGATTGATACAAGAATTAGCACCAAATTATAATTTTAGGGGGCGCAACTTTTATTTACCGATTTTGTATGCAAGGTATTATACGGCAAAGTTGCTCAAAAAGATAAAGAATTAAGCGAAAAATTTGATTATGACTGGATGACCATCTTGTTGCTTTCCGAAGACGATGCCCTTTTAGACAATATAATATATACCAAATAAACCTGTAAAGTATGGGATAAAAATATTTTTACTAACCGGACAATAAGGTAGGTACCATGTACCTACCATATGGAAATATACCAGATGGTCCTAATGAACAATCAAATAAAATTATGGACACTGTGCAAAGAATGCCCATTGGATGGTTTAGGTTGTAACGGCACAATGAAAAATTTGTTTACGAATATACCTCAATGCTTGGAGCTCTGCACTGTGAAGAAAAATAAGCCACAAATTCCCGAAAAATTCAAAATCACAAGAAACAGAAGCAAAAACAGTTCCACTGTTGGCTTCCAAAAACAAGATACTTTATAGTATCTTACATGCCAAAACCAAAGAAAGTGGTGCTTATGTACTCAACTACGCACTCTGATGATCATATCGATTTACAAACAGAGAGAAACGTAAGCCGGAAATAATAACATTTTACAACAATACCAAATATGGCGTGGACATTGTGGACAAAATGTGTAGTACTTATGACGTCTCCAGAAACTCCAGGCGATGGCCACTTACTATTTTTTTTGATCACATGTAAGTGCTATAAACGGTTATATTGTACATACAATAAACAAAGACTACAAAAATAAGGCCAGGAAGGAATATCTATATGAACTTGGTTTTCGTCTATTCATACAGCGCAGAATTAATATTGAAAGTATTCCAAAATCATTGAAAATGAAAGGGAAAATGCTTTTGAGTACGAATGAGCCATCTGAATTACAACCATGCCCAGACATTTCCCAACGCGACCAGTATTGAGGGGTTGTGCCCTCAATACTGGTCGCGTTGGGAAATGTCCCTTTTGTGGCAGAGAGAGCAATAAGTCCACCACAAAACATGTCACACATGTAAAAAGTGAATCTGTCCTCAACATCAGGTTTTTCAATGTCCTGACTTTTGTAAAAATTATGAAGACTGTGTGGATGATATGAGCGAGTAAAAAAGCAACTGAAAAGGTATGATGCCAAAAAATAATTGATTTTTCTCAAAATTCACAAAAAGTCTTATTAAGTGCTTAATAATGTTAACAGTTATGTTTAGTTTATAATGCAGACAAATCTGTGGCAATGGTCTTTGAAACGCATATAGTAAAGATGTTTGTTTACCATTATACCTGAACGGCAATAATTTGAAGTTTGTGACGAGCTTTCGATATTTAGGACATATCGTATCGAGTGACCTGAGGGATGATCAGGACTTGGACAAATAACGCGGTCCCTTACTGTACGTGCTCATATGATTAGGAGGAAATTTAATAAATGCGAGCGATATGCTAAATATTACTATTTAAAATCTATTGCCAACCGCTTTACATGCCGCATCTCTGGAGTAAATTTAAAAAGGAAAACTATCGAATATTTAAGTTTCAGTACATAACGATTCGTTCGAAATATTATTTCGTTTTCCGAGGTACCGTAATGCATCTACAATGTTCGGTGAGGCACGCGTACCGGCGCTCGATGCTTTGATAAGACATCGTGTGGCCAGATTTAGAAGTAATCGTCTCAAATCTGGAAACGTGATTATACAAATTTTTAACGCAAAATTGTGGTGAAATATTTAAATGTTGGTCTAGTATGTTAAGATATAAGTTTTAATTTTTTTGATGGCATTTATTTTATTTATACTTATTTTTGTATTTCAGTATTATTTCAATTTATTTAAATATTTTTATTATTGTTGCTTATAAGTACTTATATTTTTTACGAGCCTTTGTTGTCTGTCAATAAATGATTATTATTATTTTTGCTTA